CCTGGTTCTGCTGGAGGTTTCTTCCTGTTAAAAGGGAGTTTTTCCTTCCCACTGTCGCCAAAGTGCTGCTCATAGGGGGTCATATGATTGTTGGGTTTTCTCTGTATCTACTGTACAATATAAAGCTCCTTGAGGCGACTGTTGTTGTGATTTGGCGCTATATAAATAAAATTGAATTGAACTGAAATTGAACTGTGTTAATAAGCTTGTGTTGGAACAGACTTCCAACTGAATCAAACTGATTACAGACATCAGTCTCTTTACTTTAACCTCCTAAGACCTGAACTCTTCCACAGCAGCATTTTTAATTTCTCTTTGATATTCGGTCACATTGGGACCTGATGAATGTAAAAACAAAGAATTACCAGATTTTTTTTTTTACCTTATTTTTGTTTCTAAGAAAAACGAGATCCACATATGAGGATATTCGTTTAAACTTTTAATAGATCAGTGGCAGGATAATGTCCTCGTAAGTGGATATCAGGCCCTTGTAGAGCAAAATTGAGTATTTTGGTCTAAATAACCCAAAATGTGATGTCCACATATGTGGACCCAGGTCCTCGGAGGTTAAAGGTCAAAGTTTGGTTAAAGGGAAATCAGAGCTGTCTTCATTTTAATTAATGTTGTTGTTGTTTGTTTTTTTGTTTGTTGTCTTTTTAAAGTTACTTGTAGTTGTATTTATGATGTTTTATTCTAAAGTGTCTGATGTGTGATTGCAGCCCAACAGGGGACAGTGGTTGAAAATGAGCAAAGCTATAAACGTTGCATCAGCTTCATGTTAAACTGCATCGTCCCTTCTAAGGAAAGAAAGGCTCTGTGTGATGTGCACTCAGAGAAGCTTCCTATCTTGGTTTGTTCACGTTTGAATCAGTCCGGCTGTTCTCCTGCGACCTACGAGAGGGAGACCATGTTTTCTGCTCCTGTGTTGGAGCCTGTGGGCAGCGAGCACAGTGCCCATGCAGCGAGGATACTCACACACTGGTAGAACTGGCCCCTCTGGCCGCCGGTGACAAAGCGTTTGCCATCTGGGTTCCAGGCCACACTGGTTAGGCTATCCTCGTGGGACTGACTCATCTTTGTTCGCAACTCCCCCGTCTGTACAGTAGAGTCCAGAGACACAGAGAAGATCAGACACCAAACACACTAAACACAGATCAGCTTTCTCTGATTGGTCTGAACAGGTCACATTAAAAAGGAACGTCTGCAGGTCCAGCGCAGTTTCACACGAATGAAGCAGCAGCAGCTGGTGTGGAGCAGGACTGATGATCAGTTAACAACCCAGTGAACTCTCACTCGCTCTTCAGCTCCTCGGTGCATAAACGCATCGTCAGCCAGGTTTCTTGTAGGCAGCTACTTTTGTTCTAATCCTGTGCACACAGTCAGCTTGGAGCACAAGTGCAGGCAATTCATTGATGTTGAGACTTTCATCATCTTTAACCCTTTAGAGCAGAAATATTGCAGGTAGTAGCTCGTAAACTGGCAGATGGACTACACGAGGAAACCGTTTTACAGTGTGAGCGTGATCTTTGAACATAAAAACCCAGAAGGA